TATTTTAAAAAAATTGAATTATGCTACTTATGCTTCAAGAAATTAAATTTTCAGCCTATATAAATGTATCTAGATCTGTTGGTAAAAATAATACTTCCGTATGGTATTCAGACTCAATAAAAATATGTGATAAAACAGACAAATGGATTTCGATAATGATTACACATGGGAATATCTGGATAGTGATGAGTGGTTTTAAATTTTATTCCTTCATATAGGACCTAATAATTATGATTTTGGTTTTAAATATAAGCATATTTTTTATATTTATCAATTTTTTCTAAATTATTCCTATGAATACTCTCTCAACCATAATCAAGTAGAAGAGTGAAGAGATAATATTAAGAAAGATGATTATAGTGTTTTAGAAAAAACATATCATATTTCTTGTAATTAATTAACTTCCCTAACTTTCTTAATCTAATCAAATTAGTTACATAGGTCTTATATTAAGACCGAAGGAGTATAAATGTTAGGTTTTGACATTTACCCGCACTGCTAAGAAGGAAAAAAAGAAGAAAAAGAAACCTATAAAGTTTGAGTTGGAAGGAAACAGATCAGGTAGTAGTTTTTTTTCTATCTTATAATTATCTTTTGATTGTTATATATCTGTTTGTGTCATAATACAGTAGTCTAGCATGAGAACATGTAAGTATAGAGTTATGGATACATACATATTATATAAATATATATATATTTGCTTGTCAATACTCTGTAAGCAGGCTAGGAATCAGGCCGAATAATGAATGTTTTAAGCCTTGCAGGTCATAACTGATTTAGTACAGTTATAATATAGTTATATATAGAGATTAATGGGTCGAATGTTGTTGAACATGAACCCAATTCTTATATTATTCCGTAAAATTTTAATCAATGTTTATTATAGAGCTGAACCACAAGATAGGGTTCATTAAAAGTAAGTTTTGAAAACTTTAAAATTTTTCAAAAAATATCATTCATTATATAAGATCGAACTCTGTGCTAGAATATGTTTTGGAAACTTTTTGGGAAAAAAAAATTCTCAGGACTGAAACCCGACTCTTAGTGGTTCGTGATTATATTATTTGACCTTGTTAGTGTATTTAAGTTAGGCGTTACATTCACATTTGGTATGGCATGGTGATCAAATCACCTAGTCATTGGAGGATCACCAAAAGTGACGAGCACCAATAATCTAATTAACCATCCAAATTAAAAGAGCTAATTAATGAGCATTTGCAAAGGGCAACCAAACCAAGCCATCTTGACCCATTCACATAGAAGACGCCACATAAAACTTATTGTATGTCTGTCGCGTAACTTTCAGTTTCCACACAGCAGAGACCAGATTCTTGGATGCACCTTCATTTTGAAGTAATAGGTCGATTAGAAGCCTTATTTCATGCCATCAGTAGCAATCAAGGTTGAACGATGTAAATGTCCCAAACCCCAGAAGCCTTATGTCCCTTTGAATAAGCGTGATGAATAACCAAAAAGCGCTGCCAGCGTTACTAGCTACTTCGCTTGTAGCCGAAAAATTGCAATTGCTTAAAATATTGTTCTCAAACTCAGTGAATTAACACTTCTAATTTATCTGAGCTTAAATTTGTAGTTAAGAAAATTGAGTCAACTCACTTATAAGCTTGTTCAAAATACTATTCTGGTCCTTAGTATAGGAGCTAGAAATCTAATTTGTGAATATTAAAAAAAAACTAGTCAAATTAGTTATTCGTAGTAAATAAATGTTATCTTTCTTGAAATATTTTTGTTAATCACTTGTATTGAAATAATTCTTGTAATCACCATAAAGTTACTTGAAGGCAAAATAAATAAAATATGATAGATAAAGGAGATTGGATTTTATATTTAGGATCAAATTAAATCTACCACTAGCTCTTATATTAATTACTTAAAGTAGTATAAATTCAAGCAAACAAAGGAAAACGCACTGTTCTGGAGTGAGTTAGATTTGGATAATAAAACACTAAAGTTGCAGCTTTGATGTACTTTTTTGTATGAATTAATTAATTTCAGTTTTCATTGGAAAAAAAAAGGGGAAAACATATACAGGAGTCCTTATAATTCTACTTGATTTTGAATTAGATCCTTACAGTTTATTTTCTTTTTATTGGATCCTTAGAGTTTTTTTACTTTAATTATTAGTCCTTCTGCTCACGTTCAGTTTGCTGCTCCAAACGGCGTTTGTTTATGTTTAGAAAGGTAACTGCCACGTGGCCGAGCACAATAGTTTAATTTCCAATAATTTTCAAAACCAATTTTCTTTCCGACGGCAAGTGATGATACTGCGCAAGCTCCTTGCTTCTGACAGTATGCCCAGCTGGTTCTTGTAGAGGGAAACCAACCTTGACTAGTTTTGTCCACCTTTAACCAGTTTCATCACTCTTGATTGTGCCTATGAAATGGCATTTTGACCATGCTTTTCTTTTCATCACTGTTGCAAAAGGGACAAACCTCCTAGGGAGAGAAAATTCAAGAGAGATTACGCACATCTAAGAAAAATAGGAAATCCGTTTCTTGTCCACCGTTACGAGTTACACACAAGCCTCACAACTCTTCTTCGTTATTGTTTCCAAAGCGTCCAAAAACAAGGCCAAACAGAGCAAAAGCTTCGTAGCATTTTGGACGGCCACAGAGCCAAGCAGAGACGATGATGGATTTATTATTGGCGAAAGCAAAGGCAAAGTCCACCGATAACAACACTAATAGGAACATGAATCTTTTAGATTTCTTCTTCTCCGAAGACGATTCTGCCGTTGCCGACAAACCCAAGCATTTTTTTCTTCCCTCCAATCACTCGGTTCCTCCTTCAAAAGAAGTTGGGGCTATCTTCTCTGTGCAAGATCTGGCAGAGAGAACTATTAAAAGCAAGGAAGTTGCGGAGCATCAAATATGCCGTCGGAAAGAAAATCGGTTTTGAAGACTATTGAAAACCAAACTCTTCTGCTTGACCACATGGCAATCACCTCTCAGATAAACAAACGCCGTTTAGAATGGTAAACAGAATATGAGCAGAAGGACTAATCATTAAAGTGAAAAAAATTTTGAGGATCTAATTAAAAAAAACTATGGAGACCTAATTCAAAATCAAGCAAAAGTATAAGCACGTATATGTTTTGTATATGTTTTCCCTAAAAAAAAATATCCAATGTGAAGGCTGCAAGGACGAAGTAGCAGTAATACTCATTTTTTAATTGATTATGTGTTGTTCAGCTCGAAAAATAAAAAAGAATTGGTTAGGTGATAGGCATTGGCCAAAGACATGAGTGTCAGTGCGGTAATTGGAACCTGGGAATGGGATCAAGTATATCTACGATTAATCAAAACATTACGTAAGATCAAACGCAACACATGCACACGTTAAATAATATATATGTGTATATAACATTATAGTCCTGTATTTTTTTTAAACAACAACTATCATTATCTTTTTATTTCTAAATATAAATAATATTTATAAGTTGTTTTAAATTTTTATAACAAGTTCTTTGTTTTATTCCTATTAATTATTTATTTTAATATTAATATATTTATTATCTTATTTTTTAAACTATCATTTTTTTTTTGGGTAATAAAAGAGGCCTAAGGCCCAAAAGTACACTTAAGACAAGACAATTCCAGAAGAGTTCAAAGTCTGCCTAACCATCATCTTTCTCTATTCACATTTTTTCTTTTTATAATTCTCTTTATTATAATAATTTTTTATTTTTTTTCTTACACTCTTTTTCTCTCTCATAAATAAGGATATTTTAAAAAATTAATTTTTACTTATTTATTATTTTTAAATAATTTTTTTATTTACGTAATTAAATTTAAAGTTATTTATAAAAAAAGACGGAGGGACTAATAAACAAACGCAACACCGCTCGACGTGTCTTCATGGCTCAAATCCATTGGCATCATTAAACGCCTCACAGAAAAGCATCAAACAATCATGACGTCCTTGCTGTTGTGCTAGTTTAGCCAGCTGAACAAATTTCAACATGTTCTCTTTTCTGGACTTCCCGTCACTTATAAATTAACTGGGGTAAATAGGAAAAAGAATTAAATTTTATAAAAAATGGGTCCTGTCTCAAATTTTGTGACTTGCAGGAGCATAACACTATAACTTATAAGGAATGGAGAAAAAGAACTTTATCCAAGTGTTCCCATGTGTCTGATGTATTTTTTATTAAAAAAAAAATTTAGATGAGTTAAGTTTCAACAAATTCGTCAAAACTAAAATATGCCCCAAAACTTAAAGAGTGTTTATAGAAGTATTTACAAATCTTTCATTATCACGGCTTTTGAATTTATAATTGAGTTATGAGCAAACTTCTTAGTCTCAAATATATTTGCGTGAAAAGGATAGTGATTTTTAGATAAAGGCCTTATCAACATACACATGTATAATAATGGAGCCACAGTGGAAACGACAAGTATAGACGCGTACCATCAAGAAGCCGGATCAAAATTCGATACGAACAGTGAGGGATGTAAATTTCCTTCAAGCACAAGTCGCAGAATTCAATTTTTAATTGGTTTGCTGATAAGTATTAAATACTGGTCAAAGATAAAATCCATCGGCCACGTGAACAGCAATACAGTGAGAAGCTTCAAGTGAGCAACAAGACAACGAATAATGCGTATCAAATGACGTATGTAACTTGGGGAACAGATCTTTTAATATTTTATCAATGGAAACATTACGTAAGATCAAACGCAAAATCGCAACACATAGCAGCTATTTTATGTATATAACAGCAGCACACTTGTCTCCATGAATCAAATCCATTGAGTACTCCACCAAACGAAAGAACCAAACAATGATGATCACTTTCTTGTTCTATTATTTCCTTCTTTTTCTTGCTTTCTTCTTCTCTCTCAACCTCTTCGTTCAAAATAAGAAGTTCAAAAACATCCCACCTGGTCCACCTTCTCTTCCCATTATTGGCAACCTACACCAACTGAAAAAACCACTTCATCACGCCTTTCACCGGATTTCTCAACGCTATGGCCAAATCATTTCTCTATGGTTTGGCTCTCGTCTGGTGGTGGTTGTGTCGTCGCCTTCTGCAGTCCAAGAATGCTTCAGCAAAAATGACATCGTCCTGGCAAACCGGCCCCGCTTTCTCGTCGGTGAGTACATTTCCTACAACTGCACCACCTTAGTGTTCTCTCCCTATGGCGACCACTGGCGCAACCTCCGCCGCATCACGGCAGTTGAGGTGCTGTCCAACCACCGTCTCAACAAATTCCTGGAAATGCGAAGAGACGAGATGAAGCGCCTGGTGCAAAAGCTTGCTCAAGACTCAAGTGACGAGTTTGTGAAAATGGAAATGAAGCCAAGGTTTTCAGAGATGACGTTCAACACTATGATGAGAATGATTTCAGGTAAGAGGTACTGGGGAGATGACCATGAAGTTGGGGACGTGGAAGAGGCAAGAAAGTTCAGAGAGATGATAAAGGAGTTGGTGACATTTGGAGGGGCAAATAACCCCGCAGACTTCTTGCCCATATTGAGGTGGTTTGATTATGATCACTTGGAGAGCAGGCTCAAGGGTTTCGCCAAGAGAAGTGATGGATTCTTGCAAGGACTCATTGACGAGCATCGAAATGCAAAGGAGAAAGCAAATACTATGATAGATCATCTTTTGAGTCTCCAAGAATCGCAGCCTGAGTACTACACGGATCAAATTATCAAGGGCCTCGCTTTGGTAAGTAAACAAAACTGTACTTTGTTGTGCCTTTTGTTTCTGTGATATCTTTTGTTTTCTTTTCTTTGAGATGTGCTTGCAACTTCTGTTAAGTTGTGGATACTGGATGTTTAGATTTAACGATGGAAGAATTCGAGGATTATGCTACAATAGCTTCTTTGCAGAATTGTAGAAAGGCAAAAGCTAATAATTATAAGATACGAATGCTGTTCAAATATTTCTTGCTTATGGTAGGATCAAGTAGATGAAGAAAGGGAAAATTATTTCAAGTTTCATTGGATTTTGGAAACGTAGACTTCGAAGATTGACACAGAATTGCTAAACTACTCTCATTATATCTGCTGTTAAAAGCCATCATATATTAACTTTGCTATGCTAATCTTGACATGTAGGTTATGCTTCTTGCTGGAACGGATACATCAGCTACGACGTTAGAATGGGCAATGACTTGTTTACTAAACAATCCTCATGTGTTGGAAAAGGCAAAGAAAGAAATAGACACCCAAATTGGGAATGAACGATTAATAGATGAGCCAGACATGTCAAAACTACCATACCTGCAAAACATTATCTCTGAAACACTTCGATTGCATCCTGCTGCACCATTGTTGGTTCCACATGAGGCTTCAAATGACTGCACAATCGCAGGATACAATGTTCCACGAGGCACTATGGTATTAATCAATGCTTGGGCAATCCATAGAGATCCCCAGCTGTGGAGCGATCCTACAGGTTTTATGCCGGAGAGGTTTGAGAAAGAAGGAGAAGCAAACAAGTTAATTCCATTTGGGTTGGGAAGACGAGCATGTCCTGGATCAGGTTTAGCTCAACGAACTGTGGGACTGACTTTGGGATTATTGATTCAATGCTTTGAATGGAAACGAGTAAGTGAGGAAGAAATTGATGAGACAGAAGGAGCAGGGGTCACCATGCCAAAAGTTATTCCTTTGGAGGCCATGTGTAAAGCACGCCATCCAATCATCAACAAGCTTTCTGCTTAAGAAACTCTTGTCGAGGATATGTAGCTAAATTAATAAGGGATGGCATGTGTATGTGGAAATTCCATGGTTTAGAAAGTGCCTTTTAAGTATTCGGTACAGTCTACTTGTATGAAGATAAGCAAAGGAGAGGAACATCTAGATATGTACTTCCCCTATAGTTTCTTGATTCATATAAATTATATTGCTAAATTTTGCTAAAATGCTTGGCATTGTCGTCCACTTGCAATTTTGTGCCGGCGCGGGATTCAATGTGCTAACATCAGCACGTGACCATAGATGGATGAAAGAGTTTCTAACTTTAATTTATAAATAGTTAAGATCACGAATTTCGAAAATTTTAAATAAATTAATACTTTTTTTAATAACAAGACAATTTTATTACATAAGATGATAGTACATATATGATAATGGGCCTGTCAAGGTAGCAGGTACTGCAAAAATTAAATAGTTAATGAAATACAAAAGTAGATTTCTGATAATTTTTTAAAAAATAAAACTTAGTTTAGTTCTAAAAATAATAAATAGAAAGAAAAAAGGAAATTTTATTTTTGAAAAAAATTAAAACCTCTAAACAAATTAGTGGTCATTATATGAAATTTAGATATCATTTTCCCTAGTCCATATGAAAAAATGACATTTAGAAACCAATGATTAAGCGGATTAGGATATTGTCAGAGTTCTCTTTTTCTCTATTTTTTTTTTAAAAATTGATTCTCCATTCTTAGATAAAAATAATGGATAGCTTAAATGTAACATCTTATAAGATATTATCATAATATTATTAAAATATGAATAAATAAATTTAAACTTTTAAAATTTAATGTGAACACTTCATACGCATATAGTATAAAATATAATTTATAAAGTATTTTAATTATAGTTTTGTAAAATACCATGACTGAACCATCTATTGTTTTAAACTGAAAATGAAAAAGCAACTTTGAGGGGAAAAAAGGGAAAGGAGGATTTTGAGAGATTCCTCATCCGAGAACAAAAATGTGAACCCCGGAACATTGCAAAAATACAACAAAAGTCCTTGGGCAAAATTCCATTTAAAAGAATTGCAAGGACTAAAATTATTTTAGTCAAACTCATATAAGTTAGCTTCTCAAGTTTATCTAAAAAGAACCGTTTTTTGGCCAAATATATAAAAAGAATTAAGTTAACTCATTTTTCACTATAGCTAGAAAAGCGGATCGGCACCTCTAAATGAGTTCAGGCTTAAACAGGCTAGGCCTAGAAGCCCGCTTACCTAAAATAGCTCCATTTGTGAAGCCCAGCATGTGAGAGCACCCGCTTTAGACCCGTTTAATCAAATCAACCTTTTATAAAGAGATAAAACTAATATAATAAAATTTATACTTTAAAATATAAATATTATCAAATTTAAGTCACAGCTCAACAACACCAACATACAATAAACTATTGAAATATGTACCTTAAGACTTCGATGTGTTCTTGAACGCGGCATGCGGATAAAGATGCAATCATGTTTAGAAAAGCTTTCAAGGATCTTGAATACTCTTCCAGTTTTAAATATAATACCTATTTTGTAGTGTAATTTACACTACAAAATGAGTTTTATATTACAAAATGGGTCTTATATTTATTACCGGATGAGTATCATTTACCCACACATATACTATGAAGATTTTAGACACTTTCAGTTGGAAAACTTTTTTAATTAGTGGACATAATAAAACCAAATGCTTGAGCATCTTACATGAAAATTAGGATGCAAAAAGATTTAAGTTATTCAATAATATAAAAGTGAAAGTTCAAACATTAACTCCAAAGTAGAGACGTGAGATTGAAAAATATTTAAGTAGAATTAATTTTTACTTGTGTTTTATACGGGAGTGACCTAAAACGCCAGAGCTCTCTGCTTAAAACTTGTGATAGTAGCAGTACAAACATAACTCAGATATTTAATCAAAGAGTTATAATTAACTATTTATTCATCAATTAATACTACCTCCGGTCATAATTATAAGACTTCGTTTGTAAACAATAAATAAGATTTTATAATTAGGACCGGAAATAGTACTGATATTAATTAATACCAGTACAACTCTTCATTCCTGCAATATAAAATCAAACCCATAAGCTGAAGGTGGGTTAAGACGCTAATGATGAACAAGGATAAAATTAAATAACTAATTAGCTATGAATACTTCTTCTGGCCAATTAAAAAAAAAAACTAATTAGCGAGTGAGGAAAATTATACATGCATACCTATTATATTATTAAGGTATCAAATGTCTCCTTTCCTTTAAATCAAGATTCTAAAGATGTCATTTTTAATTTTAAATATAAGAATTAAATAACTAACTTAATAAGTATTAAAATAAGTAAATTTAATGACATCAACTCGCCTAATCCCATTATTGCATGGAATATTTGACACTTAATATTGGACTATTAAAGAGACAAGCGTCAAATAAGATAAGATGGGAATGAAAGAAAATAATGCTTGATGTTTCTTTATACTAACTGTAAACTATTTTATAGAAATATTTGATAATTAACAACTGTTAAACATTTTTTATTTTATTTTTTTTAAATCAACATTTGCTTGATTTTAAGAGCTGTCAAGTAAGCGATGCAACCATTTGACTGTATCATCAATTAATTTAATTTAGAGTTAAGAGGAGTTTGTCGGCTTCACGACATTTTCTCTTATGTTATTAATTATTCCATTTGATTTTTAATATAAAAGATAGTTAATGATTGAATTTAGTTTTTAATATAAAACATCAATTTATTTTATTTTTCAAATTTATAATTTATTTTTAAATTAACGTATCTCTATTGATTACGCATATTATGAGGGTTTTCATCCAAATATAGTTATGATTAAAAAAGATACTTTAAAAAAATTAATTTATAATTGTTATAAATAACTAAATTAAATAAATTTTTTAATCTATTCAATACTGAAAGGGCTAACTCGCCAGTCCAAAACTGATTGCATAGTAAATGGGCTTCCTGGCCTTCAGGCCCAATAACAATTTATCCTAACTCTGACAAACACTTGTATTATAACTAAATGTAGTATTAGAGTAGGCAAGATAGCAACACCATGACCAACAAACTATTGGTTGAGATAGTAAGTAGTCTAATCTTTAGATGAAAAAAAATACAAGTTTGAATTTCAAAAAACGTATTTGTTAGGAAAACTTTAACCTTAACACTCCCAATCTGACAAAAATTAGTCTCAAGACTAAAATAACTTGAGCATACTCTGAGTTAATTAAAACAAAAACAAAAACACCATGTGAGAGAGATAAACAATGACTCATAAGTAAAGTGGGCCACCCATTCTAGATGAGTTCTATCCTACTCTCGAGTCTATAAGAATGAATTTACTAATCAGATATAAGTTGTTCAAATCTGATCTAGATGGTCTATATTTAGTTTCTTTGTTTTTTTTAAACAATTATTTTAATGGGTATAGAATAAGAGGAAAGATAACATCTCAACCATCATTTTTTCAAAAAATTATTTTTATTCAAAAACAATTAATTAAAAATATATTAAATTTGGAAAGATTACTCATCAAGTGATGGTGGTAATCGAGCACTGAAACCTCGTCCTGCTTTATATTTCTTTCCTATCAACACCATGTCATGGGTCCTCGTTCAGTGCTTATCATATCAATATACACCATAACCTAATCACTGTAATACAATATAGACTATTCAAAATTTGATATAGATAATTCATATTTAAAATCTTTAATATGCAATTTTTCCAATAATAAATTTATTTTTTAAAATAGTTTTAATTATAAGATTATTTTTATTTTGAATTTTATATCTATTAAAGTAAAACAACTAATTAAAATATATAAAGAATTTTAATTTAATTTAGACCATCCAAAATCAATTCGAATGTTAGACCTAGAGGAGAGTTAGAAATTAACAAAAGGAGATTATTGATTGGAAGCATATGCGTGTGTATATATCTATCTATCTTACCCATTGGATCAGCCATGAGTCGAGCAAAAACGGCAAGAGAAAGACGAGAGAATTAAAGCTAAAAGCAACACTAATCAATTACGTGTTTTTTCTTACTTATATATTAGACACAAATCGATGAATTCGAAAAAAATTTTTAAATTGGTTTGGTGATACGTATGATCCTATGTCAATATGTCAATACAGTGAAGCTTTCAAGTGAGCAACAAGAAAAATAAAAGTCAGCGAATGTGACGTATCAAATGACCTAATTGGAACTTGAAAGAGAGATCCTTTATGTGATCTATTATTAACCCACGTTACTTAAGATCAAACGCAACACGAAGCAGCTATTTATACCACCAACGCACATAGAGATCTTATTGTGTGTAGGGGTGGAAATAGGCCAGGCGGCCTGTCAGGGGCCTGCAGCCTGGCCTGTTTTAGGCCTGATCAGGCCAGGCCTGTTAGGAAAAAAATACAGGCTCAGGCTTTTTTAGAAGCCTATTTCGCTTAACAGGCCAGGCTCAGGCTCCATAAGAAGCCTATGAGACTAATCAGGCCGGCCTGGGCCTGTTATGCTTTTTCACATAATAAGTGGATTATGCAAAACGCAGGCCTTGAACCCAAGACCTATAAGTGGATGAAAAGTTACTTCACCACTACCGCTACACCATTTCGTGTTGTTATTACTTCTTTTACATAATATATAATTTTAAATCCTGTTAAGTCTTCAACTTCAGTCTTCAGCTTAGGTTTTCGTTTTCCCCTCTTATCATTTTAGTCTTCAACTTCAGCTCTTCGGTTTAATTTTCAACGGCCGACGCTCCTCTCACCATCTCACGGTCTTACCTCAGCTCTCAGAGACTCAGGCTCTACTCTCTGCCTCTCTGGTCTCCTTCTCCTACTTGGAGTCAGACAGCAGCCACGCTCGACGCCGGCGTCGCTCAGCATCGACGTGAAGGACGATCAGTGACGCAGTCGCTCAGTCGTCTACCTCTCCTCAGTCTTCGTGCTTGTGCTTTCCGGTCTCCATATCCTCGGCGGCGTCGACTCCGAAGCCTAAGCCACAGCATCGGAGGCGTCGAGTCATCCTCCTCCTCAGTCCTCGCAGAGTCGCAGTCAGAGGCTACAGTGACTCCCAAGCCACATC